TCTTTGATTCTGGGGAGAGTAGAGAGAAGAGGTGGGAATGGTACCAGGTGCCAGACAACATCCGTCATAGTCTACCCTCTTTGGCTACTCAACAACCATACACATCTTCTCACACATATGTAAACTTCCAAATTGCAATAGCAATGACACCAAGCTTCTTTAACTATCCCTCATTCAAATGTAAATGGACTCACATTCTCACCAAAATGGGAGACCCAAAGTCCCATCAGTTTTTTTATCCGCTGTTAGATGATCACTCCTCTTCTAGTTCAATGGCAAATCCACTAGATATCATGTAACCTAACTATTAAATGACAAGTTTCACCAATACCAACTCACCTTATATAATAGGAGAAAATAAGAGGATAAAAAGGAAATTGCACATATACATAAAAAAGCAAGAAAATACACACTGCCTAGCCATCCTTTTTGCAATTGGTCATGAGGCTACAGTTGATCTTTATAACTTCCTTCTCCCACTAGGAAATCTCTATTTCCTTTGTGTCTGGCCAGCATCTCAGGTGGTTAGAGTTCTTTACCTAGTGAAGTAATTCAAAATCTCGATTCCTGATGAGCCTTGCCCTAGGTAGTCTGACCTTTATTGGGTTGCTCTAGTCTACTAACTTTTACCACTGGGCAATTTCCAGGAGGCGTCCTAAGAATCCTGTGAGTTCCAGACATAGACCTCGCTGCCCCACAGTATAGCAATAATCCTATTTCCTTATGATAGTCAAGATCAATCACCCCAGCCAGTGCAGTAACTCCATTCATTGCTTTTTGGTTCAGTGGCATTGAGGTGCCCCAAGGCCAGGAGGCAATCAATGGAATCACTGTATTGTCTGGTGGAGGCATAGTTCCCTTGGGATCTAAGACTTCTATACTAGCAGAGCTCAAAGCTGCAAGGATGAGAAGCAACAATTTCTTAAAGCAGGTTTTTAGGTATATGAATGAGAGGAGCCACTTCTACTTCCACCTCTTGGTCCTTGGACCCCAAAAAAGCAGCAGCAGATACTGTTGCTAGCTGGGAGCATCTCCAAGGCACTGAAAAATGTTACCATGCAGATGGTGCACTATGGTAGACTAGGTCCACTATGGGAGGGATTCAGGTCATAACGCCATTTGTTACCTGATCTCCTGCTATGGACTGAATTGTGGTCCCCCACCCCCACCCCAATTCATATGTTGCAGCCCTAACCTTCAGTGTGATGGTATTTGGAGATGGGACCTTTGGGAGATAATTAGGTTTGATGAGGTCATGAGGGTGAGAGCCCTCATGATGAGATTAATGCCCTTATAAGAAACACCAGAGAGCTTGCTTAATCTCTCTCCCCTGACATGTGAGGACACAGTGAGAAGGCAGTCTTTTGCAAGCCAGGAAGAGAGCCTTCACTTGCAAATTGAATTGGCTGGCACCTTGATCTTGGACTTTGCAGACTCCAGACCTGTGAGAAATAAATTCCTGTTGTTTGAGCTACCAGTTTATAGTATTTTGTTACAGCAGCCTGAGCTGACTAACATACCTTCATAAATCCATCCTGACTGGTAGACTACAAGTATTTTGGATCTCCAGGGGCTATCATCAGCTCAGAGCCAATAATCACCCAAGAATGTGGTTATTTCTTTTTCCCACTGCACAGTCTCCCCTATAAGTGGCTCCAATTCTCTTTGGAAGGGGTAGAAGGAAGACTGACTGTACCTACTAATGGGAGGGTTGTATACATCTTCCCCTTCATTTAAGGGGCTCTGGGTCTGTGAAATGGGTCAGGTAAGGGAAATTGGATAAGAGGCCATGATTCTCTACTGCAATGGCAAGTCAAGTCTCTGTTCACCAGACCAGGGTTCTTTCGCATACACAGAGCAAGTAAAACTTTAGTAGGCTGCCCATTTATATTGGTCCCAGAGACACCATGATCAATTAGCCAGCACCAAAAATCTCTACAGGTCAAATATTTTTTGATTACTATTGTAGCCCTGTTGACCAATACAGTAACCAACCCCACACTGACTCCAGTAGTTAAGCGGCATCAAAGACCCCATTTTAATGACGTCATTTCCCACCCAACATTCCTAACTCCCTTGGCCTCTGGACTCCTACATTATACTAGGGAAGTTCTGAGATTTCAACATTATTTAATGTAATCCTCAACTGAGTCTAGTTTTCAGTTAATCAAACTGCTAGAGCTAACATACTGAATCCAAAATCTCTGATAGGAACAGTCATATCAACAAATCCATCAATCCACACTGCATTCTTCTCTCCCTGGTCTAGAAACCTTAGGTCCTAAGCCCACATATATTCCCCCCCCAGTTTTTGTGAATATAAATGAACAAAATCTTACACATCTTTTCATATGTTAGCTGTCTCTTCCTAGGTTGGATTTTCTACTTAGCCCCATGGGACGTGATACAAATTGACTACTTTTAGGCCTAAGGATAAAGAGGAATGGAATAGTAGTGGGGCCTGAATCTATCTGGACTGGTATCAGATTGCTACAGATTCTCCAAGCAAGGCAGGACTAGCTTTATCAGACAGGGAGGAGGACTGCTTCTGCAAGAAGAGAAGCTCAACGGCGTTTGTAGGCTCTAGGTGTTCTGATTCATTTGAATCTACCCACATGTCTCCATTCAAATTCTCACCATTTCATCTTTCCTATCAATGCTTGATCTTTACCTAGGAGATCTGATGTGGCTGTGAATTCAACTTACATTGGAATTCAGCAACCTACACTGTTTGATTCTTGGCTACATTAGCCCTGTGGCTATAAGAGATGGGAGAGTCTTCTAGGGTAGTCACAGAAGGTCCCTGGTTCTCTGATTGTGACCTGAGATAAAAAAATTTAAACTATGAGATTGTCATTTTCTTTTCTTAAGCAATTCAGTATTGCTTATGTGTGGATATATCATAGCTTACATAAACTATTCTCTTATTAATGATTATTCAGCTTTTCCAATAAATTCCTAACTCAGGCCCAGATTGAAGTAACAAGTAAGTCTATAAGGTAACAGCATTGTACCTGACTAGTATGACAATCAATTCTCTAGACCCTGGTATGCTGGGGCAGTTAGAGTTCATCCAAGGCTTCTGGCTCCTACTGCCCTGGGTCTACTACAGCATCTCAGGATCTGAGGGCAAACCAGTTTCCTGGAGAGCTGGCGGCTGGGGAGACACCTTAGCCACTGGAGCTCAGAAGACAAGAAGAGCCTTGTCTTACTGGCCCACTTGTCTGCATGTCTTCCAGCCTTGCAGGGAGTCCCCTCAAGGAGGGGCCAACTCATTTATACAATGAAAACTGGCAGAATTTAATGTGACATCTGCACAGATGCAATCTTCTTTTAAATAAAAGGCACCAATAAAAGTTTATGGTCAAGAAGCTCACTGTATGTTAACACAAGGCAGTCTGGCCATTATATTCAATTTAGCCATTCTGAAATTGAGTTTTCCAGGTGATGAGTGATGCATTTTTTTCACAACTCACTGAGCCCATTTGCCTTCACCTTCTCAAGTGTTTAAAAGTGCAACATGTTTTAATGGAAATTATAAATTTGCCAATGTACTCAGTCAGCCTCCTTTAAATCTGCTATAATCATTTCTTTGGGCTGAAAATTCTTCTCTGCTCATGCATTTCTAACCTACAATCATTCTGAAGACCAGGATACAATTTAAAAGCCTTGAGGATCTAAATTGGAATATGAAATTTATTGTGTGGCTCCAGCTCAGGGCAAATTTTTCCATGATCTTGCCCAGAAAACAGAGTCCCATCAGTACTCTCATCAAGTAGCCCCATCCTTACTGTGACTCTCAGAGTCGGAACAAAATGCACCCAAAGTTCTTCTAACCCAGGACTTCTAGAGGGAGAATTTAAAGTAGCTGCCTCTAAAACTGCTTGAAGTGTGGCTCATACAAACGTTCAGCGAACAAAGCACTTTTTCTCCATAAAGGTAGGTGCCAAACATTTGCTTTCCTCAGGGCTGTTCCCCGAGCACAAGCAGGAAGATAAAAGTTCTCATCCTGGCTCAGTAAGTCACTTAAAGCAAACCCCTCCTCTGATCAGCAGGGCAGACACACCAACTAAGTGCTGTGTGTGGAGAGTTGGGGGCCAACTGATTGATAAGCAAGGATGGCAGGATCCCCAACAGTCACTTTTATGGAAAGAAAATTAAGGCAGAGACATTGCGGGTTCTGACTCCACCTCTACCCTTTGCTCAGTGTAACTTCAAAGTAGTCACTTAATATTTTTAAGCCTTGGCTTTTTCACCAGTAAAACGATGGATCATATCTTGCCGTCTACCTGAAGAGTTTGTAAGAGGCTACGTCAATGTTGGTAAATCCACTTGAGGTAAGCTCAAAATATTATTAGATTATCTAGAAGCATATGCAATGTTTAGTTATAAGCCACATTCATAAATCTCTCAAAGTCCCCGAGGGAGGCAAACAGTTTGCGTGTCTAGAGCAGACATGGTAAATAAAAGGGGTGGTAGGGATGCTAGTCTCTAAGACAGAGGGGTCTCCAGTTAGAACTTGCTAATAAAGCATCTCCCTCAACTTCTGATTCCACAGCCTTATGAATAAACTGAGGATTACGATATCCACCCTGTCTACCTTGCAGACTTATCATGAGGATCAAGGTCAGAACACAATGGGGCAAGCCCCTGGCATAGTGGTTAAGTTGGCATAGTGGTACGCTCCGCTTTGGTGGCCTGGCTTCAAGGGTTTGGATCCCAGGCGTGGACCCACATACAAATCAGAGGAAGATTGGCACAGATGTTAGCTCATGGTTAATCTTCTTCAAGCAAAAAAAAAAAAAAAAAAAAAAAAAAAGATCAGAACACAATAATGGAGGGGAAAGTACATGGTTAACAAAGTAAAGAGAAAATATTTATTAACTGTAAATATTTTAGTTACAAATAAAACATCATAATTCACAGGGGCGACTTCAATTCCAAGACCCAGGCTACAGCCCAGTGGGGAAGAGAAGAAGCTGTGACTTGGAGCCTACTACCTGATGGTGGTGCCTTGCAAACGGTCTATCTTCTTATTGAGCTCAGCAATGATGCTGTGGAGTTCTGTGATGCGCTCCTCGTACCGAAGCGTCGTTCGCTCCTGGACATCCTCATGCTCTCTCATGAGGTGGGACTGCTCACACTGGGATCAAGAGACAAGACAGAAGTACCAATGAGTTGATGTACTTACAGGCAAGTAATTTTAAGTTTTATGGCCTCAAACTATCACAGCCTCAACATTGAGTATGCCCCAAATTAACATGCCTGCTCATTGGCCAGGAGTCCCAGAAGACACATCAACAGCTAAATTTTACAATGCCCTGGTGGACATCTGAGTCTTTGCCTCTTTCTCTCTTTAGGGAAAGGTCCCTCTGCTGTTGCACACAATCTCGGTGGCACTATCTAAGTCCCTGCTTTTCTAAACCAAGAAGTGGGCAAGTGGCCCAAGCTGGATCCACCAGATACCTTCTTTAGCGATTGGACCTAAGACTGCATGGAGTCGATTCACTCAGCTGGGGGTCCTGAAGAGACAGTCCTTTAGCTCCTGCTACCTCTAGCCCTAGAGCTTCCTTCCCAAGTTCCTTTATGGTTGTTCAGTTTTCCTTTTACCAATTCATTCCTTTTCTGCTTAAGTTTTCTGGGGTATGTTTCAGCCACTTTTCAACCAAATAATCCTGAGTGGTATGACACTATTTCTTAACTGGCTGGTTATCTGCAGACTTAACGCTTTCCTACATCCTTTCTCACCAGGCTGTAAGCTCTGGGAAGGTGGGGACTACGTGTTTTCATGATGGAGCCCTGGCACCTGGCATATGGCCTGGTTCACTGTGGGTGATCTGGAAGTGTTATAGAATGAATAAATCGCAATGTTTCACACTGTCAAGAAGGCTGCTTTGCCGAAACAGTGACAAAAGAATCTGAGGAGCTTCCCTTGCTCAGCATTTGATGGACTGAGAGGCAGCAGCTGCTATAAAAACATTTTTGTAGATAGAGTTTAAATCCTAAGGAACCTGTTCATCTTGTTCACTTCTCTCCCCCTTCAACTCCCCACCAGTCACTGTGCATTTAATCTCATTTACATAATAAGAAAATACTCATCAGCGAAGGAACAAGGAGTCTGGCTTCCATCGCTGTCTACTACATTCAGCCAGCCCTGATTAATTTCCTGTCCAGCAGAGGAATTTTAATTTCATTTTCAGCAAGGTTTTCCTAATGCAAAGAGCCATGTGTACTTACCAGCTTTGCACTTTCAGGGCTGGTGGCAGGTGGGCAAGGGCAAAACTTCTCATCCACCACCGCCAATGTCCTCCCCCCTCCCTAAATCTGCTAGGCTTCCAATGGTGTAACCCAAAAGCTACTCAGCAGAGACAAAAAGCCTTCAAAGATAAGCAAACCCCTACACTAAGCCCAACTCAATACGGAAACAAGTATTCAGCAAAGAATCCTGATAAATACCTTGGTATAAATCATGGCAGAGACCACACCTATGAACAACAGCTTGATCAGTATTAATGTGGTAACTTCCCGGGGGCTGCTCAGAGCTCCAGAAACAAGATTAGAGGCAACAAGGTTGTGGAAGCTGTACCAAGACCTTTGTGAGGGGCTGGCCTGGTGGCATAGTGGTTAAGTTTGTGTGCTCTGATTCGGCAGCCGGGGGTTCACCGGTTTGGATCCTGGGCACAGACCTACACACCGCTCATCAAGCCATGCTGAGGTTGCATCCCACATAGAGGAGCTAGAAAGACCTGCAAGTAGGATACACAACTATGCACTGGGGCTTTGGGGGAAAAAAAAGACCTTTGTGAGAAATAGTGATGTAAACTTCTGTTCTTAGTGACAACCTGCAACATCAAATAACCTCCCCTCAGGGTCAAATATGCAGGAAATAAGTGGAACCAGAGGCAAGGATGAAGGACTAGTGAAAGCCACATCTACATGGAAACTTTCCTAAACAGAACAAAACCCTAACAGGCCACAAATACTCCTTCCGTCAAGTTATGCCTTTTCATCCGTGATTCATCACACTTTAAAAGGAACAAGAGAAGTCCACAAAATGACAATGTCTCAAATACAGTATCTGTCCATAATTGAAAAAGCTTCATATTTCTCTGGAACATACCAATAACAGAATACTGCTTCGCTCCATCCCCGCAGAATATCTATGAGTTTTTGTTATTGATCTTTATTTCCATCTTTAAATTGTGTATGTCTGTAGTATGTACATGTGGCTGATACTCTGATGAAGGTCACCAGTTTCAGATCTTAACACAATTATAGGAAATGCCTGGTCTGACCTGGATCTCATTTAGGCCACGACTCTTACTACACTGCCATGTTGCTGGTTCCTCCTCTTTGGTTTTCCATATTCAGTTTTCTAGGGCTACAAACTACTGTGAAATGCATCCCCTTACAAACTCAACAAGCTCTTACTGTCCCTTAATTCCTTACTTGTTCTTCCTCCTTCACAGACTTCATAGTCAATAGGCCACTACCACCACCAAGGCAGACAAGAAACTGCAAAATCCACTAAAAATGCAGATGTGAAAGTGTTTATACAAGAAGAAGGCATGCAATCATGCATTCCTGTTGCTTGTTATGAGCTGCTTGAAAGGTGAGATCCTGTGGGGCTGCCCACGTTGCAGTGAGGTCAAATGGGTGATGCTCGGATAACGAGAGCCTGAGAGCTGGTATCATACCATCTTCACCCCTGCCTCCAACTGGAAAGTCTGCCTGGAGGGTACAAGTATGAAGAAGAGACAACAGGAAGCCTGATGATTCAGTTAGATGGAATAGCGCTTGTAGCTAAAAGGAGAAAAGAGACTCATGATGTATATTTGGAACTTAGGGGTTCATTTGGGAGCAGCAACAAGAATACATTGGAGAAAAAAATTTCTTAGCTGAAGGCAAAGATATCTGGTTTACATTCCTATATTTTTCATAAGTATGTTTTCTTAAATGGTAGAAAGCATCTATGATTTAATACTTCCTCTAAAAATAATTGATATGTCTTGATTTCCCATAATGTCTGAGATATTGTGCTAGGAGCCATTGGGGGGTCACTATGACACTTACTTTGAAGGGAACTGTGGTCGCAGCCTCCTGGTGGACTACTTCCAGTGAAAAATAACAAACATGGACAGAAGTAGGGAGTGAGGAAAAGAAGAGATAGTAGAATAGTACCCCGAGGATTCTCTCCCCAGTGCAAAGAGAATGCTAGAAAATGATTATCAAAACTCCTAGCCTCTAGAGGAATGAATGGCTGAGAAGACATTGCTCAAGGTTCAACTGTACAACTCAATATCCCCTTGAGGTATCTCACTAAGCACACTTCACCCATTCTCTGCACCCTGCCAAAGATATGCTGAAGCATTGACCTCCAAGCTCAGAGAAAATCCCCTGAGCTTTTCCAAGCTGTGGTGCAGGGGAAAGTGGAGCAACTCCCACAAGGGCAACGGTGCAGGGGAAACAAGCCATCACCTGCAGCAGCCAAAAGAACCCAACAAAACACCCTTGTTCAACAGCTCCATTAAACTGCACAAGACCAACTCCAGGAATGTGGCACTTTAGCGCCGGAAAAGTGGAAGACGAGTGGGTGGCACCCGGGACAGACAAAGCCATTCTGTGCACAATCGGTGCCTTCCTGCCCCGGCGACCTCCCACCCAGGCAGGATGGGCCTGTTAAAAGGAGGCCCAATTCTACTCCCACACTCCAGTATCATACTGACCCATGCTTCTCACCACCCCGCGTTTCCACCGCCTGTGAGAGCATTTTTTAACCCGAGAGGGTGTGTGATTTTGGGATTGTGTTTCACAAGGACACAGGCTAGGTCAAGCTCGATACTGCATCTCCATAGAAGAGTCACCTACAGGCAGGGATCCCAGTAAAGCCTCAGTCAAGAAGGTACTACGACAACGATAACGAAATAGGAAAAAGGAGTATTACTTCAATGATTACTACTTAACGTTTGCACAAGTTTTCCGATGTTTAAGTTACAAATTTAAGTATGTTATACACATTTTAAAAAAATGATAAAAAGACTCATCCATTTTTTCATAAGCCATTAATACAATCCTTTTTCAAATGCTGTTTATTTCTCTCCAGTATTTTCTTATGTATGTGGGGCTCTGCCAGCTCCACCATGCGAGGTGCTCATGACCCTAACATCAAGCACCCCTGTGGTGGCCAGCAGGGGTGTTCACCAAGACTCTGCTTCACCTCCATCCGTATGGCTACATATGGCCATGTGACTTGTTTTGGCCAATGAGGTAAGAGTGAATACACACCATTTTTGCCTAGAACCCTTTAAGAGTTCCTGCAGGATTTGCCACATTCCCTTCCCCAAGCCTTGGCAACGTTACAGATGGTAGAGGCCTACCAGCTTGGGAGGCTGGGTGAGGATGATGCCTCAGTCTCCAGCCAGCCCCAGTGAGCTCCTAGCAAGAAGCAAGAAATAAACTTTTGATATTTTAAGCCACTGAAAATTTGGGGTTATTTGGTATAACTGCATAGCCTGATGACACAACAATTTTATAGATGAAAACAGACTAAATATAAAGTGACCGATTTATTCATTATAACTCAAGTAACCAGCAAAATCCTCTGAAAAACCCTCTGATTCCTGTTTACGCCAACAAAGGGTTAAAGTTGTTATATCCACAATCTTCTGCCCTCTACTCCCTCCCAGCTCCCTGACCTGTGGGCTTATCTCCTCCTTACCATTTGCCTAATGATCTCAAGTGGCAGCAGAGTGGTCCCACCTTGGTCTCCTACTCTGAATCACCTCCAGTGAACTCCAGGAAACAAATATTATGCTTCCCAATACCAAATGAGAGGTAGGAAACCCAAACGGCTCTCTCCTTCCATCTCCTGGGAGTACCGAAATAGAAAAGGAGACACAAGGGGTGTAAAACAGGGAATTCTAAGTCCCTCCAGCACTCACTAGCCAGCTTTGGCTGCCAAAGTCAATTATTCAGCGACAGCTTTCTTAATAGGGACCAATGGCAGCTTCTTCTAGCAAAACTTACAAGTGAGAGATTTAGTTTCTTCTGCTTACTGCACAGAAGCACTCCATACAATTTCAGCTGAACAAAATAAGAAATGGTCTCAAACAACATGGGACTGTTTTTTTTCCCCTATTATTC